GTCTGTTGAGTTCTCCATGAGAAAGCAGAAGAGAATCCTTCCTCTGTAAGCCATGTGTGTCATAAAAGGCGACTAAAATGCTGGGAGCAAGCGGCTAGTAACCTCTTCTCCTGCATAAATTATTAAATTTTAAAAGAGAAACTTTTGTTTTTCTTTTTAGGTCACCCTTCCTCAGTGGGATATGGCTAGTTTGTTCAAAGAAAAAAAATCTGTTAAGCATACCTGGTCAAGTGTATGGTAAAGTTATTATTGAAAGAATAAAGAGTAAGACAGAGAGCAGGATAGCAGAAGAGCAAGGAGGCTTTAGGAAGGGTAGGGGGTGTATAGACCAAGTGTTTACAGTGAAACATATAGGCAAACAACATTTAGATAAGGGTAAAGAGGTTTTTATGGCATTTATGGATTTGGAAAAGGCATATGATAGGGTGAATAGGGAGGCAATGTGGCAGATGTTGCAAATATATGGAACATGAGGTAGGTTACTGAAAACAGTAGGGTTTTTACAAGGATAGTGAAGCTCAGATTAGAGTATGCTGGATAGAGGGAGATTATTTTCCAGTAAAAGTAGGCCTTTGACAGGGATGTGTGATGTCACCATGGTTGTTCAATATATTTAGAGATAGAGAAGTAAGAGAAGTGAATGCTCAGGTGTTGGCAAGAGGTGCGGGGTTAAAAGATAAAAAATCTAACACAATGTGGGAATTTTCACAGTTGCTCATTGCTGATGACACTATACTTTTGGGAGGTTCTGAAGAGAAGTTGCAGAGGTTAGTGGATGAGTTTGGTAGGGTATGTAAAAGAAGGAAATTAAAAGTGAACATAGGAAAGAGTAAGGTGATGAGGATAACAAAAAAATTTAGGTAATGAAAGATTGGCAATCAGATTGGAGGGAGTATGGAGGAGGTGAATGTATTCAGATATTTTGGAGTGGACGTGTCAGCAGATGGGTCTATGAAAGATGAGGCGAATCACAGAACTGATGAGAGAAAAAAGGTGAGTGGTGCACTGAAGAGTCTGTGGAGACAAAGAACGTTATCCATGGAAGCAAAGAGGGGAATGTATGAGAGTACACGTACAGTTATACCAATGCTCTTATATGGGTGTGAAACATGGGATGTGAATCTTGCAATAAGAAGGCTGGGGGCAGTAGAGAAATCATGTCTGAGAGCAATGTGTGATGTAAATATAATGCAGAGAATCCATAGTTTGGAAATTTGGAGGAGGTGCAGGGTTAACAAATATATTATCCAAAGGGCTGAGGAGTATTGTTGAGGTGGTTCGGACATGTAGAGAGGGCAAAAAAAAATACAATGACTTCGAGAGCATATAAATCTGTAGTGGAGGGAAGGCAGGGTAGGGGTTGGCCTAGGAAAGGTTGGAGGGATGGGGTAAAGAAGGTTTTGTTTGCGAGGGGCTTGGACTTCCAGCAAGCATGCATGAGCGTATTAAATAGGACCGAATGGAGACAAATGATTTTTAGGACTTGACGTGCTGTTATTGTGTAAGCAAGGTAACATTTATGAAGGGATTCTGGGAAACCAGCAGGCCAGACTTGAGTCCTGAAGATGGAAAGTACAGTGCCTGCACTCTAAAGGAAGGGTGTTAATGTTGCAGTTTTATAATTGTAATGTAAGCATGCCTCTGGCAAGACAGCAGTGGAGTGAATGATGATGAAAGCTTTTCTTTTTTTGGACCACCCTGCCTTGGTAGGAAACAGCCGGTGTGTTAATAATAAAAAAATATAAAAAAAACTCGGTTTCTTAGTCTCACCTGACAGAATGGATGATATATTACAGAAATACAGATGATTTTGATTAGTTTCAGGACTGAAAGTAGCTTGAAATTGATTTCAAAGTAGCGAAATGTTCGATAATGCAACAATAGAGCACTAGTCTGCATAACAGTAAATCTTCTATTTTTTGTGTTAATAAAATTTCAAAATGGAAAGCAAGTGAAATATAAGAGGTTCCTGGAGATGTGACTAATGACAAAGGAAATGTTTTTTAGTGCCAGGAATGTCTACATTGTTTATTCTAGACCCTATTTTTAAACTGGAAACTTTTGAATATTGTGTGAAACTGGCCAAATTACCAATTTCTGATCACCTTATTGGAAAAATGTTAATAGGTAAATGGGCATTTTTTTGTATTCAATCGATAGAATAGAAGGAATACTAGCAAAATAGCTATGAGTTTGGTCAACTGGAACAATGGAATTGGCCAAAACTAGGGCACAAAGTGGGCAAAATCACCAGTGCGTAAATATTACCGAGACTGCTAACTTTATGAGCATAATTCCCTAAGTTTTCCATCAAATTTCATACTTTTGGTTTCATTGCTTTCGGAAAAAGATTCTCTACCATTTCATAAAATCTAAAAACTTTTTTCTTTTTTAAATATTGCAACCCTGAGAGTAAGTCTGAGACCAAGGGTTGCGACCCTGAAAGGGTTAATCATCCAAGTTGGACCAGAACATTGCCATAAGTTTTAGTCTCCTATGTGCAGGGTAATTTGTGTATTGTTCCAGTCATAGTATTATGTGTTTTTATTCTCGTTGGATAATCTGCTACTTGTCATTATCCCTTTGACTGTTTCGGTCGTATATATACATCTTACGAGGTACCGTGTTTGACGTATATTTTTTTTTTTTCAACAAACTGGCCGCATCCCACCGAGGCAGGGTGGCCCAAAAAGAAAAACAAAAGTTTCTCTTTTCAAATTTAGTAATTTATACAGGAGAAGGGGTTACTAGCCCCTTGCTCCTGGCATTTTAGTCGCCTCTTACAACACGCATGGCTTACGGAGGAAGAATTCTGTTCCACTTCCCCATGGAGATAAGAGGAAATAAACAAGAATAAGAACTAGAAAGAAAATAGAAGAAAACTCAGAGGGGTGTGTATATATATATGCTTGTACATGTATGTGTAGTGTGACCTAAGTGTAAGTAGAAGTAGCAAGACATACTTGAAATCTTGCATGTTCCTGAGACAGAAAAAAGGACACCAGCAATCCTACCATCATGTAAAGCAATTACAGGCTTTCATTTTACACTCACTTGGTAGGACGGTAGTACCTCCTTGGGCGGTTGCTGTCTACCAACCTACTACCTAGGTGACGTATATATGTATACTCATAAATTCTAGCGGCTTCAAGTCAAGCAGGAGAAAGCTGGTAGGTCCACATGTGAGAGAATGGGTCTGTGTGGTCAGTGTGCACCATATAAAAAAAATCCTGGAGCACGCAGTGCATAATGAGAAAAAAATACTCCGACCGTTTTTTTTAATTAAAATGCTGACTTTGTGGTCTATTTTCGTATAGTATTTATGGTTTTATTCTCATTTTCTTGGTCTCAACTGATAGAATGGAATACATATTATAGAAATGGAGGTGATTTTGATTGGTTTTATTAAGAAAAGAGCCTGGAAATGGAGCTCAAAGTAGGGGAAATGTTTGATTTTTGCCGATGTTCAAAAGTAAACAAATGATGTCATTGTCCAATAAATGTCCAACTAGCCATTCTAATATGCAGTCATGAATGGGTTGACATTATTTGTACAATTATTACAGTATTGCAGTAGTCTGCATAACAGTAAATCTTCTATTTTTTGTTTGAATAAAAATTCAAAATAGAAAGCAAGAGTAATACCAGAGGGGGCTGGATATGTGATTAATGAACAAAGAAAATGTTATTTTAGAGCCAGGAATGTCTGCATTGTTCATTCTGGACCTTATTTTGAAACTGTCATATTTTTTAATTTTCGTGAAATTGGCCAAATTGCAATTTTCTGACCACGTTACTGGGTAGTTGAAATCGGTAAATGGGCAGTTTCTTGTACACAATCGATAGAAAAAACAGAGTTCTAAAAAAATAGCTATGAGTTTGGTTGACTGGAACAATGGAACTAGCCGAAAATAGGGCTCAAAGTGGGCGAAATAGCCGATTTTTAAATATCGCCGAGGTCACTAACTTCGCAAGAGTTTAATTCCGTCAGTTTTCCATCAAATTTTGTTTTTTGGTGTCATTACAATTGTGAAAAGATTCTCTATCATATCATAAGAAAAAAATAATTTTTTTTTTTAAATTTTGCGACACCAGGAGATGCCTCACGATTGAGGGTTGCGACAGTCAAGGGGTTAAATAATAAATTGTATTTCATGAATCACAGTAGCATTTTTATTAGTTTTTATCGCTTTTTTCCCCCTCTTTTCCATTTGTCTCGCATGTTTATTTCTACAATCAAAAAATGGCAACTGCACTATTCATAAGTTAAAAAAAGAAAAGAATGTAGAAGTTGAAACGATAAATTATAAGCATTGTTACTAAATGTTCCATATTTCTAGATACATTTATGGCAGGTGACCAAATTTGTAAAATAATTTATAAAGGCAAGTTATGAGATGGACTAAGAAAAAGACATAACTCAAGCACTTCATATAAAGAGCATGGTTGAATGAAATCCTGTTCTAGTTAAAGAATATTAGATTAAAGATGAAATTTAAAAAAAAATAACAATTAAAGTTTGTAGCAGATTCATAAAAATATCATTTCCATAAAAAAATACATTAAAGCATCACCTTAAACACCACATATTACACAAATTATATGCATGTGTATTCAAAGCTTTATGAAGATGTACTGGAAGCATTACTGACACTATCTAAAAATAGTTTCACTATTAACAATGAATAGTAAGTTCTGTACACTCAAAAATATATGGTTAGGGAGTTAGCAAAATGAACCCTAAAACAATTTATTATTAGCTATAGAGGAGGCAAAATGTGAATCAGGAAATAATAAATTTAAAAACACAGGGAATAGGAAAAAGTGACAAGGCATCCCCATACAACAGCTACTGTATTTTGCTTAGAAAGTTTCAGTGGATAAGAAAGATTTCCTCAAAACTTCTCCTTATGTTTCTTTCCATTGCTACACATGCACATTTAAATTAATTAAAAACTAAAACAAGACAAGAGCAGCCATGGAACAATTCTTACACTTACTTGGTCTCCAATGGCCAGCCCATGAGGACCTGAGCGGCCCGGGTTTTGCTCGCCAAGCATGGGAAGATGGTCACGATACACAGTTCCTCCCTTTGCATCATTTACCTACTTTAAGATCAGCCTGAAATTATAATGTAAAAATACCAATATACTATACAACTATACTATACTGCAACAATAAGAATTGGTGTGCAAATATGCAAGCAGATATATTTCTGAGATAATGAGGACTACAAATGCAATATACAGTGGTACCCCAAGTTTCGAACTGCTCCCAACTCAACCAATTATGTAAGTGTATTACTGTAAGTGCTTTTGTAAGTGCATTTTTGGGGTCTGAAATGGACTAATCTAATTTACAGTATTCCTTATGGGAACAAATTCGTTCGGTAACGGCACTCGAACAGCATTCTGTTAAGAAGAAAGTTTGAAACTCGGGGTACAACTGTACTTTATACTACATTTTGGCATGATGTTAAATAAAATTCAAACATGGACAGAGTAAGAGTAGTATAATTAATCATGATAAAGAAAGATGATTGTGGATGTTATGATGAATGAGAAGAAGCTGGATGTCCTGGCTTTAAGTGAAACAAAGCTGAAGGGGGTAGGAGAGTGTCAGTGGGGAGAAATAAATAGGATTAGGTCAGGGATTTCAAAAAGACTTAGAGCTAAAGAAGGAGTAGCAATAATGTTGAAGAATAAGTTATGGCAGGAAAAGAAGGAATATAAAAGTACAAATTCAAAGATTATGTGGTGTAAAATAAGGGTTGGATGTGAAAAGTGGGTTATAGTAAGTGTTCATGCACCTGGAGAAGAGAGAAGTGTAGAGAGAGAAATTCTGGGAAATGTTAAGCGAGTGCATGGGGAGTTTTGAACCAAGTGAGTGAGTACTTGTGGTTGGGGATCTCAATTCTAAAGTGGGTGAAAATGTTGTGGAGGGACTAGTAGATAACTTCGGGGTCCAAGGGGTAAATGAAAATGGGGAGCCTTTAATTGAGTTATGTGTTGAAAGAGGTTTGGCAATAAGTAATACATATTTTATGAAAAAGAGGATAAATAAGTATACAAGGTATGATATAGCACGTAAAGAAAGTAGTTTGTTAGATTATGTACTGGTGGATAAAAGGTTGATGGGTAGGTGTCAGGATGTACATGTTTATAGAGGGGCATGGATATATTGGAGCTTTATATAGTTGTAGCTACAGTTAGAATAAGAGGTAGATGGGACAAAAGGACAATGGCAACAGCAAGTAAGAAAGAGGTGAACGTGTATAAACAAGGGAGGAGGAAGTTAGGATGAGATATAAGAAACTATTGGCAGAAAGGTTGGCTAATGCAAGTATGAGTAGTGGTGAGGGGGTTGAAGAGGGTTGGGATAGTTTTAAAAATGCAGTATTAGAATGTGGGGCAGAAGTTTGTGGTTATAGGAGGGTGGGTGCAGGAGGAAAGAGGAGTGACTGGTGGAATGATGAAGTAAAGGGTGTGATAAAAGAGAAAAAAGGTAGCTTATGAAAGTTTTACAAAGAAGAAGTGTTGTAAGAACAGCAGAATATATGGAGAGTAAAAGAAAGGAGAAGAGAGTGGTGAGAGAGTGCAACAGGAGAGCAGATGAAAGAGTGGGAGAGGCACTGGCAAGAAATTTTGCTGAAAATAAGAAAAAATTTTGGAGTGAGATAAACAAGTTAAGAAAGCCTAGGGAATGAATGGATCTGTCAGTTAAAAACAGAGTAGGGGAGTTAGTAGATGGGGAGCTGGAGGTATTAAGTAGATGGCGGGAATATTTTGAGTAACTTTTAAATATCGACGAAGAAAGGGAGGTAGTAATTTCATGCACTGGTCAGGGAGGTATAACATCTATTAGGAGTGAAGAGCAGGATGTGAGTGTGGGGGAGGTGCGTGAGGCATTACGTAGAATGAAAGGGGGAAAGCAGCTGAAACTGATGGGATCATGAAAGAAATGTTAAAAGGAGGGGGGGATATAGTATTGCAGTGGTTGGTATTTTTGTTTAATAAATGTATGAAAGAGGGGAAGATACTTAGGGATTGACAGAGAGCATGTATAGTTCCTTTACATAAAGGGAAGGGGAACAAAAAAGATTGTAAAAATTATAAGGGAATAAGCTTACTGAGTATACCATGTAAAGTGTACAGTAGGGTTATTAATGAAAGAATTTGAGGTAAGACAGAGTAGGATTGCAAATGAGCAAAGAGGCTTTCAAGTGGGTAGGTTAAGTGTAGATCAAATGTTTACATTGAAGCATATATGTGAACAGCATTTAGATAAAGGTAGGGAAATTTTCATTGCATTTATGGATTTAGAAAAGGCATATATATAGAGTGGATAGGGGGAACCATGAGGCAGATGTTGCAAGTGTATGGAATAGGTAGTAAGTTAATAAATGCTGTAAAGAGTTTTTATGAGGATACTGAGGCTCAGGTTAGGGTGTGTAGGAGAGAGGGAGATTACTTCCCGGTAAAAGTAGGTCTTAGACAGGGATGTGTAATGTCATGTCACCATGGTTTTTTAATATATTTATAGATGGGGTTGTAAAAGAAGTAAATGCTAGGGTGTTGGAGAGAGGAGTAAGATAAGATAAGATTTCGTTCGGATTTTTAACCCCGGAGGGTTAGCCACCCAGGATAACCCAAGAAAGTCAGTGCTTCATGAGGAGACTGTCTAACTATTTCATTGGTCCTTAAATCTTGTCCAACCAGGATGCGACCAACATGTCGACTAACACCCGGACTATTTGCTGCTAGGTGAAAGGACAAACAGTGTAAGGAAACTTGTCGAAATGTTCCACCCGCGAATCGAACGGCTCATGTGTGAAGGGGAGCTTTAGCCACCAGGACACCGGGCACCTGGGATTAAATTATAGGGAATCAAATACAAAATGGGAGTTGACAGTTACTTTTTGCTGATAATACTGTGCTTATGGGAGATTCTAAATAAAAGTTGCAAAGGTTAGTTGACAAATTTGGGAGGGTGTGTAAAGGCAGAAAGTTGAAAGTGAACATAGATAAGAGTAAGGTGGTGAGGATATCAAATGCTTTAGATAAAGAAAAATTGGATATCACACTGGAGAGAGGGAGTATGGAAGAAGTGAATGTTTTCAGATATTTGGGAGCCGAGCTGTCAGCGGATGGGTTTATGAAGGACGAAGTTAACCACAGAATTGATGAAGGGAAAAAGGTAAGTGGTGCGTTGAGGTATCTGTGGAGACAAACGTTATCTGAGGAGGCAAAGAAGGGAATGTATGAAAGTAGTATAGTGGTACCAACACTCTTATATGGGTGTGAAGCTTGGGTTGTAAATGCTGCAGCGAGGAGGCGGCTGGAGGCAGTGATGTCTTGTCTAAGGGCAATGTGTGGTGTAAATATTATGCAGAAATTTTGAGTGTGGAAATTAGGAGGAGGTGTGGAGTTACTAAGAGTATTGCTCAAGAGGGCTGAAGAGGGGTTGTTGATATGGTTTGGTCATTTAGAAAGAATGGATCAAAGTAGAATGACTTAGAGAGCATATAAATCTGTAGGGGATAGAAGGTGGGGTAGGGGTCATCCTCGAAAAGGTTGGAGGGAGGGTAAAGGAGGTTTTATGGGTGAGGAGCTTGGACTTCCAGCAAGAGGGTGCAAGTGTGTTAGATAGGAGTAAATGGAAACGAATGGTTTTTGGGACTTGAGGAGCTGTTTGAGTGCGAGCAGGGTAATATTTAGTGAAGGGATTCAGGGAAACCAGTTATTATAGATTTAGCCAGACTTAGAGTCCTGGAAATGGGAAGTACAATGCCTGCACTTTAAAGGAGGGGTCTGGGATATTGACAGTTTGGAGGGACTTCTAAACTGTTTTATCTGAGTGCCTCTGCAAAGATAGTGATTATGTATGAGTGAGGTGAAAGTGTTGAATGATGCTGAAAGTATTTTCTTTTTCAGGATTTTCTTTCTTTTTGGGTCACCCTGCCTCGATGGGAGACGGCCAACTTGATGAGGAAAAAAAAAGAAAGCAAAAAGACCTACATACTTGAACCTTGCAATATATATCAGTAATTTTTTAATATGTAATCTTGGAATGCTCTAATATTTTTTGAACACACTGGCCATCTACTACCAAAGAAAGTTGGAGAAAGAAAAAAAATAAAATCACCAGAAGGGAGTAGACATTACAAATCAAATGACCCTCTGAACTACATCATCCTTACCCCTCCTTCAATGTGCAGGCACTTTGAAGGAGGGGTGAATTAAAGTCTGGCTAGCCTGTTTACCTGAATCCCTTCATGCTACCAACAGGACATCAAGTCATAAAAATTACTAATCTCCAATCATTCCAATCTAACACACTCACACAAGCCTACCAATCATTATTTGCATGTTGTATTTCAAGTATTTCATCCCAACTCAAAACCAAATTCCTTTATGAAGGTAAATCATAACTCAAAATTATTATAACTCTAGACCATCGTAACTCAAGCTACCACCGTGCTAGCCTATGGTAGGGGGATTTGCATATATGTGTACTTTTCCTGCTTAAAGTATCTCTGAATTTCCAGTCGTTGGCTAACACCATGGTCCTGCTTACAGACCTTGTACTTGACAAGCTACACCAAGAACTAAACGTTCTTAAATAAAACGGCTACCTTGTCCATGTATCTTTAGTTAACGTGTGTCAGCTTGTTACAAAGTTGCATATATCAATAAGGAAACTAGATATTCACCTAGTTAAGGAATTGTAAAATTACAATTTAGACAAAATTATGGCCATCTCCCACTCAGGCAGGGTGACCCCCCCCAAAAAAAAAAAATACCATCATTCACACTATCACTGCCTTGCCAGAGGTGCACAGATACAACAGTTTAGATGTCACTCTAAACAACAAGTATCCCATACCCTTCCTTCAGAGTGCAGGCATTGTACTTCCCACCTCCAGGACTCAAGTCTGACTAACTGGTTTTCCTGAATACCTTCACAAAATATTACCCTGCTCACACTCCAACAGCATATCTGAAGTTAATCATAACTACAGCCTCTGACATCTTCCAATTTAACTTCATAGGAAGAAAAATATTTAAGATTGTCAAAGGAAGACTTCCAAACATTTTCTAAACAATGTTAAATGTTGATTTGGCATTCATATTTATAAGTAGCTGCTATACCTCATTTCAGTAGTGACATCTTACCATGCCTTCAAAGCCAACCCTGTACAAGTTTTTGGCACCATTATCCCAGATGACATAGGCAGCCGATCTTGGTGAAGCTGCAGACCAATCTTGAATCTCTGAGACTTTACCGCGTCTCCCATTACCTCCATCTTGGTCTTCCCACTGCCAATCTACTCCTCTTACTACTCTAGCACCAGGAAAGATACCACGGATGCCAATTTTTTTACTTTTACGCCGAGGTTCAAGTAACACTCTGTGGATAGTAAATTCCAGTAATCTTCAACAGCAGACAACAAATCAACAATACTGCATATACAAAGTAAAGCTACATGAAAATATTATATACTGAGAGAATATAATGAGCTGTATAAAGTCTGTCCAAAAAATTTTTGGACTAATAAAAAAATGTTTGCCACCGCCCATGTACCAAACAAAGGATTAAGAATGAAATGAAAGCAAAATGTTAAATGGCCAGATATTAATATTTGTATTTTCTAAGTTGCCTATTAAAGGTAATTGTGTTTTATTTCCTTTTTCCATTTTTTTCTGGTAAGCTTTTCTATTTACAGAGATTGACCGTACAATTTAAATCCAAACTTATTTTGCACAAATTTTTTTTTTTTTTACAATGCTTGAAAAAGTACTTTTATAAAATTAACCTAAAGTTTAACAATACTATTCAACTTACATTACATTCTTTTATTTAGTTAAGGTGTTAAAAAACTTAGATGGCAACAGTGAATTTTCAGAGCAAGAAAAACCAGTTGCAGGAGTATTAATTGACTAGAAATTGCACAATCTTCATATCAAGTGAAGATCCCATATTACTTTGGCCCTTTGCATTTCCTGGCTGCCACCATGCTAACTTTTGAAAGACAGCATTAAGAATGTACAGTATATTAGCACTGTTAAATTGTTTTTACATCTTCAGTATCATGTCTCATGATGGATACCAGAAAAAAAAAAGTACCAAATGTGAAGAAAGATAAAACTTTACCTTTCACACCCAATTGTGGTAATGCGATAGAAACGATGCCTAGGATTGTGTTTGTCACTGTGATAGCACACAGAACATAGGTCATAATTGCTGCATTCTGCACATTTCCATCGTATACCAAATATTGGTTGTTGTCTACAAGTATCACACATTGTGCCCTCATGCTTCACTCCTGAAAAAATTCAATCTGATTAAGTGTGAAGCCTTTTAATACAAGATAGAGCCAGTGATGCAAGTACATCAAGAGGCATCTGTCAATGTGTTCCTAACAAAATCTTAAAATATATTTTAGGATTTAATTCAGTATAAGTTTACTATAGGTATATAAAGCTACTTCAGTTGTACAGAGGGAAGAAAATAAAATACAGAATATACAAGAGGAATCTACTAGTCATTTTATATCTGAATTTAAATGCTGTAATATAAAATTCCTGTACAGAATGTGTATATACAGCCTCTCCTCACTTAACAACAAAGTTCTGTTCCTGAGACCACATCGTTAAACGAATTCGTCGCTAAGTGAGGAGCATACTATAATGGTAGTGAGTTTGTGTCAACCATCTTAGATACTGTTTAATGTCACCTTTGCACCATTTATAACATTTCTGATACATTTTTAAATGTTTATACAGTAGTGTACTGTACAGTGGAACCTCAAAAATCGAACTTAATCCGTTCCAGGAGCTAGTTCTAAATTCGAAAAGTCTGAAATTCGAAGCAATATTTCCCATAAGAAATAATGGTAATACAATTAATCCGTTCCAGAAACCCAAAAATATTCACACAAAAAATACATTTTATAGAGATTAATTACAGTTTTACATACACACAACAAATGCTATAGTCTTTAATTATGTATAGTAATATAAAATAACATTTTTGCTTACCTTTATTGAAGATTGGTGATGGCATCTGGAAGATAGGAGGAGGAGAGAGGGAGTTGGGGTTATTGTTTGGAAGGAGAATCCCCCTCCATGAGGACTTCCGGTATCAAAGCCCTCTCTGGGGTTGCTTCCCTTCTCTGTATTTTAATGCCACTAGGACCAGCTTGAGAGTCATTGGACCCCAGTCTCACAAAATAACTGTCTACAGTCCTCTGTTTCTGTCTCACAAAATAACTATCCACAGTCGTCTGTTTCTGTCTCACAAAATAACTGTCCACAATCGTCTGTTTGTCTCACAAAATAACTCCACAGTCGTCTGTCTCACAAAATAACTCCACAGTTGTCTGTCTCACAAAACGTCTGTCTCACAAAATAACTCCACAGTCGTCTGTTTCTGTCTCACAAAATAACTGTCTACAGTCGTCTGTTTCTGTCTCACAAAATAACTGTCCACAGTCGTCTGTTTCTGTCTCACAAAATAACTGTCCACAGTCCTCTGTACATCCTGGCAAGCTCAACAAGTCTCACTCCAATCTCATACTTCTGTATTATTTCCTTCTTCACATCTATGGTGTTTCTCACTTTCTTTACCACAGGGGAACCACTAGCAAGTTTCTTTGGGCCCATGGCAGCTTATTTCACAGCCCTACAAGCATTAAACACAATTAAATAATCGTAAAATGTGTGAATGAGATTGCAGGTTAGTGTTCACTCAAGCATAAACAAAGCTAGACTGCTCACGGCGCCTGCACGGGAACGAGGACAGAGCGGGCCAGTGGACAGGTCCTGTACCTGGCAGTCCGAAAATAGGGGCATGTTTGATAATAGGGACACAGTTTGTCTGAAAAAATGGTCTTATTTTTCGAAACGTTCGATATGTGATACGTTCGATTTTTGAGGTTCCACTGTATATTGAAATAAACAGAATAGAGAAAATCAGCTCTAATATACATTATTTAGTTATGAATACTGGTCAGAGAGCCCATCGTAAGTCTGAGGCGTCGGTAAACGAGAACGTTGCTAAGTGAAGAGAGACTGCAGTTTTAAGTTCATTTTATCAGAAAATCAAGGAAAATTCAATTATCCATTAGTCCTCAGCTCAGAGGATAAGTTAAGTGTGTTAGGAGTGAGTGGAGGCAAGTGGTTTTTATGATCTTACATGCTGATGGAGTGTGAGCAGGGGATTCAGGGAAACTGGTCAGCCAGATATGAGTCCTGAAGGTGGAAAGTAGCCTGCACTCTTAAGGAGGGGAGGGGATACCGAAGTATGGAGGGGCAGCCAAGTCATAATGTCAGCATGTCTATGGCAAAACAGCAATAGAGAGTGATGAAAATGATTCTTCTTTTCTGGGTCACCCTACCTTGGTGGGAGACAGCCAGTGTATTAAAAAAAAATTCATTATATACTGTATAACAAATAATTTTCCTTTTAGCCACATTAGAGCATAAGGACACCATATAAGTGAAAGCTGATTATTGTTTATAAAGTGTATATAAAAGTTGATTTGGTCAGAGTATGAATGTGTGGATCTAAAGGCCATGATCATATAACAAAGGTATGTGAATTCCCAGAGGCCCTGATGAACTCATAAAAATTTACAAATACAAAATACAGTAGTCCTCACCAGTCGGAGCAGAATCTAAAACTCGGAGGTCATAAGCACCAGCACAACGGTAATTAGCGGCTGTTCCATTATCCCAAACAACCACTACTTCCTCAGGAGATTCAAAATTCCTCACAGTCCCCACATGCCCTTCACCACCATCCTGCAGAAAATTATCATTAACAGTCCTTAAATCTGTCCAACATTCAACATTTACAGTATATGCAAGGCCTGGTCATAGACCAGGCAATGGAGGTGTTGACCCCCCCCCCCAGAACATCCTCCAAGTAGAGACATTGGGTGTGTTTCCTAATACCTGCTGTCACCGATTATCTAGCAAGTAGGTACCTGGGTGTTAGTCAACTGGTGTGGGTCGCATCCTGAGAGACCAAACTGAAGGATCTCAATAGAAATAAGACAAACAGTCCTCAATGACATTGACTTTCGATTATCCTGGGTGACTAACCCTCTGGGTTAAAAATCCAAACAAAATCTTATCTCTCATTTTATACTGTACTGCACTGTATTGTAACTGGCAGCTCAAAAAATCATACAATACTGATATGAAAATTTGAAATAGATTAAAAAACACTGTCCTTTAATCTGAAACAGTCTAAGAAAAGCAACATATATTGTTAGCAAGTTCATCTAGGTACAGGTACACAAATACACTTACACAAATTATCATATATAGCAACATGTGTGAAAATTACCTAGGATAACCTCAAAATAATCAAACAAAGTGGCATTTCCACTGGGGGTCCTTGTTGAACTCTTTTTTTTTAATGTAATATTCTGATTCTCTACCCACACAAACCACTTAGTAGTTTAATGAGGGCTCTGCAAACTCTTGCAATTGCATTCTTCTAACCTCACACTCATAACCAGTAATATTCTACACATGAAACTCAGCTCAGTTGATAAGAGGTACCACAAAGCAGAGACAAGCCTACCTGTTTCCCCCACTTCCAGTCTGGTCCTCTGATGACTCTAGCACCAACGCCTTCCATCATGTATCTTGTGTTCCTTCCAGTGCTTGCTCCTGCTGCCTCCATAACCGAGAGGACACCAGAGAGTGCAGGAAGATGGGAAAAAAAACAAGTGTGGTAGAGGCCAGAATGGACGTCACAACCTGATGTTTATGTTCTGCTCCATTCATCAATGAACAAAATATCTATATATAAATTATTTCTAATTCCCTTTCTAATCACTTCTACTTGTTAGGTATACGAAATAAGATAAGACCTGTAAGCGCTTTTACAACAAATAGCTTACTGGGTACACAAAATGCTGGTCAAAAACGAACGCTGCGTCGTCTGAAGGTAGAATTCATTAAGAAATTGTTAGCAGGTGCTGGAGTTATTGTCACTTAAGTTAACACCCTTTCAAGGGAGGCTTCTCCTTGATGTTAGCGAGGGCTCCCTTGATCAAAAGAATTGGAGCTACCCTCCCCTTTCTCGGATCGAATCTGCTTCCCATTATACATGCCCTTACGGGATTACCGTTCCCAGTAATAATAATAATATCTTCATTTACTACAAGTACATATACAAGGTATACAGTCCTAGCTGACATCAATGATATACTACTATATAGAAAGTCCCTTGTTATGCCGAGCATTTCGGGCAAATTAGGTCATTTTTGTCCCAGGATGCGACCCACACCAGTCGACTAACTCCCAGGTGCCCATTTTACTGATGGGTGAACAGGGACATCAAGTGTCTTATGGAAACACGTCCCTAATGTTTTCCAGCCGTACCAGAGGAGATTCGAACTCCGGACCTCAGTGTGTGAGCTGAGTGCGCTAGCGATCGAGCTACGGGACAAGTAACGAGGCTTACCTGTGTGTTAATAAGCCGTTTTGGGCGGCAGCCTGGAGGTGGCAGCATCCTGTAGGACGGCATCCTAAGGTGGCAGCCTAGAAGGTTGCATCCTAAGGTGGCAGCCTAGAAGGTTGCATCCTAAGGTGGCAGCCTAGAAGGTTGCATCCTAAGGTGGCAGCCTAGAAGGTTGCATCCTAAGGTGGCAGCCTAGAAGGTTGCATCCTAAGGTGGCAGCCTAGAAGGTTGCATCCTAAGGTGGCAGCCTAGAAGGTTGCATCCTAAGGTGGCAGCCTAGAAGGTTGCATCCTAAGGTGGCAGCCTAGAAGGTTGCATCCTAAGGTGGCAGCCTAGAAGGTTGCATCCTAAGGTGGCAGCCTAGAAGGTTGCATCCTAAGGTGGCAGCCTAGAAGGTTGCATCCTAAGGTGGCAGCCTAGAAGGTTGCATCCTAAGGTGGCAGCCTAGAAGGTTGCATCCTAAGGTGGCAGCCAAAGAAGGTTGCATCCTAAGGTGGCAGCCTAGAAGGGTTGCATCCTAAGGTGGCAGCCTAGAAGGTTGCATCCTAAGGTGGCAGCCTAGAAGGTTGCATCCTAAGGTGGCAGCCTAGAAGGTTGCATCCTAAGGTGCAGCCTAAGAAGGTTGAAATCCTAAGGTGGCAGCCTAGAAGGTTGCATCCTAAGGTGGCAGCCTAGAAGGTTGCATCCTAAGGTGGCAGCCTAGAAGGTTGCATCCTAAGGTGGCAGCCTAGAAGGTTGCATCCTAAGGTGGCAGCCTAGAAGGTTGCATCCTAAGGTGGCAGCCTAGAAGGTTGCATCCTAAGGTGGCAGCCTAGAAGGTTGCATCCTAGGGGATTGCATCATGGAGGGTAGCACCCTAGAGGATTGTATCCTGGAGGGTGACATCCTAGAGGATTGCATCCTGGAGTGTGGTATCCTAGAGGATTGCATCCTGGAGGGTGGCATCCTAAAGGATTGCATCCTGGAGGGTGGCATCTCAGAGAATTGCATCCTGGAGGGTGGCATCCTAGAGGATTGCATCCTGGAGGGTGGCATCCTAGAGTATTGCATCCTGGAGGGTGGCATCCTAGAGGATTGCATCCTGGAGGGTGGCATCTTAGAGAATTGCATCCTGGAGGGTGGCATCCTAGAGAATTGCATCCTGGAGGGTGGCATCCTAGAGGATTGCATCCTGGAGTGTGGTATCCTAGAGGATTGCATCCTGGAGGGTGGCATCCTAGAGGATTGCATCCTGGAGTGTGGTATCCTAGAGGATTGCATCCTGGATGGTGGCATCCTAGAGGATTGCATCCTGGAGGGTGGCATCTTAGAGAATTGCATCCTGGAGGGTGGCATCCTAGAGGATTGCATCCTGGAGGGTGGCATCCTAGAGTATTGCATCCTAGAGTATTGCATCCTGGAGGGTGGCATCCTAGAGGATTGCATCCTGGAGGGTGGTATCTTAGAGAATTGCATCCTGGAGGGTGGCATCCTAGAGAATTGCATCCTGGAGGGTGGCATCCTAGAGGATTGCATCCTGGAGGGTGGCATCCTAGAGAATTGCATCCTGGAGTGTGGCATCATAGAGCATTGCATCCTGGAGGGTGACATCCTAGAGGATTGCATCCTGGAGTGTGGCATCCTAGTGCATTGCATCCTGGAGAGTGACATCCTAGACCTAGAGGATTGCATCGGGAGGGGGTTTTAAGAGAATCACCCGGAGGGCAGCATTTAGGGGATTGCGTCCAAGAGTGTGGCATCCTAGAGGAGGATCTGGACGTGGATCTAGAGGATTGCATCTGGAGGGTCCATCCTAGGGACGCACCCTGGAGGTGGCCCCAAGGGAATTGATCCTGGAGGGTGGCATCTAGAGAATTGCACCGGGGGTGGCACCTAGAGTATTGCACGGGAGGGTGGCCCCTAGGGGATTGATCCTGGGGGGGCAGCTCCTAGAGGATTGTGCCCTGGGGGGTGGCATCCTAGGGTTTGCCCCGGGGGTCTATAATTTCCCCGAAAATATAACAAAAAGAGAATAAAAACAGAAAAGTCCGAGGCAGCTACAGCTTGGTCCACAAGGCACATACTCGCTCCCATCCTTTCCTACCCTATATCTGATATAGAGATGTAAGTCAAGCCCGTGTCCCCTTTTGCGGATGACACTTGAACTGCCATGACGTGTCCTCCAAAAAAGACACCCCCAGACTCCAAAAGACACAACCAACTTCAAATGGGCCATTTAAAAAAGTATGAAGTTCAATGAAGAGAAATTCAATACTCAAAGGGAAAATTTGAGGAAATTAAAACTGTATCAGGGTATTAACAAATTTAACCATACAATAGAGCGAAAAAGTAATGTAAAAGGACCTGGGAGTGATAATGTCGAGGACTCGCCTTCAAACCACAACAAGTATCTCCACTCTGCTAGGAAAAATTATGGGAGGAAATAGAACCTTCAAAATAGGGATGCAAAGCCCATTGATTCTTTTCAAACGCTTATTCCTCTAGGCTGCAATGTGCTGTAACTAACTCCCCCCTTAAAGGGAGGCGAAATTCCTGACCTGGAGTTAGAAAAAAAACTTTCACGGAGACAAAAGTACGATAAGGACTTAATTACGGGGAAGGGTTTTGAAGTCCCTTAAATTTTGTATTCCCTGGGAAGGGAAGGGAAGAGATACATGATAATATACACAGGGAAAAATCCTAGAGGGATTGTCCAAACTGCACACGAAAATCACCCCCTACAAAGAAAAAGACCGGCAGGGATGCAACATTCCCCAAAAAAAAAACGGGCCCACGGTACATTGTAGACAACGCAATAATGTCAGGGCGCAAGAGTTCAATGCTCCAGCATACAAAGGGGGGTTCCCAAAAATTTTTCCGGTGTCTTCAAAAGGCACTGGACAGGCACCAAAAAGTCAGTCCCTGACCAGCCGGGCTGGGGTTCGTACATCAGTTTGCTGCGGTAGCAGTAACAGCCGGGTTGATCAGATCCTACACCAGGGGGATATCACAGACCAGCCCCCGGGGATGTTGACCCCGAAACCTCCCCAGGTTTACCCCTGCCCACTTAGCAGTAAAGAGATACCTGGGTTTTAGCACAGTGTTGGGGGGGGGCACCCCGGGGGAAGATAAGAAAAAGGCTCAACAGAAAAAAGAAAAAAAGTCACACTGCTTATTTTTCCGGCACTATTGTGCTTAACAACCGGGGTAAAACACTAAAAAAAACTATTGTTTTTTACTAAAAAAGTAAAATTATACTGAAAATTAAATAAAAAATCCTAAAAATTACTAAAAACAAATTCATTAAACAGGTAATTACTAATAATTATTTCTAATAGAACGAAAAAAAAAACTTTAATAATTTCAATGCCTATTTAAATTTCTACTAATAAAAACAAAGTAATATAAAAAAAGACAATAAATATTTTATTTTTTAAAAAAAATTAGAATAATATAAGGAAAAAAATTAAAAAATATGAAAAAAGCAAAAAAATTATTATTTTTATTATAAACAAGGGGGGAAACCTAAACCCGGAGGGTTAACAGCGCCTGGGGGGGGGGAGTGGGGAAAGGCTTCGGCTTAATTCGGGAACTGGAGCCAGACCAATTTCCCCAAATCAAAACCCCCCACCCCACAAGGGAAACCCTTTCCTTGAGGGAACAGCAACAACAAAAATTTTTTAAATCAAAAGTAAGTGTTTAAACCCCCCGGGGTCATACAGGGGCAACAAAAAAAATAATAAAATAAAATAATAAAAAATAATAATAATAAAAAATAAAATAATAAATCAGAAAAAATGTATGGGGTTGTTATGTACTATATACACATACTGTACATGTAGGGGGCCCTTTGTTACCTCGTGTCAAGATCCCTTCAAATAACAAACCACCCCACCAACAACAACCCAAAAAAAGAGCACCCCCCAAAAAAAACAAAAAGAACCCCCACCAAAAACAAAAAAAAAAGCCGACCAACCAAACCCCAAAAAAACAAAAACAACAAACCCAAAAACCAAACCCAAAACCCCCCCCAAAACCCCCACCAAAACCACCAAACAAACCACCCACCCCACCAAACAAAACAAAAACCAAAACAACACCCCAACCAACCCCCAACCAAAAAAACCCCCACCAACAACAACCCCACCCCAAAAAACCCCACCACCCCAAAAACACCAACCAACAAAACCCCCGCCACCCAAAAAACCCCAAACCAAAAACCCCAAACAACCACCAAACAACCCCCCAACAAAACCCCCCAAACAAAAACAACCCAAAAGCCGACCACCCCAACAACCCCCAAACCAACACCACCCCACCCCCCAC